GATATGGTGTGTTACATAATTATGTATTAAAAACCAAAATGCTGAATCTATACCTGTTTCTTTGATGGGTGTGTATTACCGATACTAAAATAATTAATTAATAAGCGAAAGGTACCCTCTATTTCACAAAATAGTTGATGCTGCTGAGAATTTTACGAAAGTTCTGTGATGCCACGAAAATAAAAAAATTGGTTCTAATTTAGCAGGAACAGAAATCATAATTTCTCAAAAACACGTCAGAATGTTTGAAAAACATTTCAGAAAATTAAGTCCGGATTTCTGAAAAACAAGTCAAAATTTCTAAATCTAAGGCATTGGAATTTAAGTAACCAGAAGATTTATTTTACTAGATATGCAAAAGGAGATTTAGTATTGGTTAGCTCTACATTTAAATGTGTTAAAACGTCATGGACTGAACTATTTGGGAAGAAAAGAAAAAAAAAATATATATATATATATATATATATATATATATATATATATATATATATATATATATATATATATATATATATATATATATATATATATATATATATATATATATATATATATATATATATATATATATAATATATATATATATATATATATATATATATATATATATATATATATTATATATATATATATATATATATATATATATATATATATATATATATATATATATATATATATATATATATATTATATATATATATATATATATATATATATATATATATATATATATATATATATATATATATATATATATATATATATATATATATATATATATATATATATATATATATATATATATATATATATATATATATATATATATATATATATATATATATATATATATATATATATATATATATATATATGATGACACTATACTCCGGGATATCATCCGTTCGCTCGTTGAACTCCGACTGGAATCCTGCATCCGACTGGAATCCTGCAAATCCTGCATCCGACTGGAATCCTGCAGACGTTTCGCCAAAATCTCACTTGGCATCTTCAATGCTCGCGTTCCGAAAACACTTATATATATATATATATATATATATATATATATATATATATATATATATATATATATATATATATATACGGATGATATCCCGGAATATAGTGTCATCATATATATATATATATATATATTCTCACGTATTGATTCACGGATGGAGAAATGTGATGACACTATATTCCGGGATATCATCCGTTCGCTCGTTGAACTCCGACTGGAATCCTGCATCCGACTGGAATCCTGCAAATCTTGCATCCGACTGGAATCCTGCAGACGTTTCGCCAAAATCTCACTTGGCATCTTCAATGCTCGCGCTCCGAAAACACTTCGAAGTCGGATGCAAGATTTGCAGGATTCCAGTCGGATGCAGGATTCCAGTCGGAGTTCAACGAGCGAACGGATGATATCCCGGAATATAGTGTCATCGTATATATATATATATATATATATATATATATATATATATATATATATATATATATATATATATATATATATATATATATATATATATATATATCGAAAAGTAACGGTCCTTTCAAATGGTAAACTGAATTTTATTATTACTTAAAATCTGAAAATGTTTGAATTGCTTTTTTTCGGAAATTCTGAGTGAAGTTGTAAATTTTAACTTGTTTTTTAGAACAATTAAAACCTATTTTTATTTTAAACCTATTTTTATTTTTGCTAACCTTTGAGCAGTTTTGTAAAATTGAGATCAGCATAACCAACATTGAAATCGCAGTAGCATCATCGAAAATTGCTGCCGCAAGAATATAACGAAAGGAAAGAGAAATGCAGTTGAAGACTTAACTTCTTCAATTTTGGGGAAACGCAATCGTATTCGGTGTTCAAGTTTTCGTCGATGACTTTATTTTGGAATATAAGAGTTACTTTATATACGGGATTTCGCTATTAGTCGCTGAAGTTTTGCCGTCAAAAGTTTTTCGTTTCCTTGTGCACATGCAGAATGTTTCGCTGTTGTTTAAAAAGTTGATTCCTCATCCAGTTTTAAAGTGAATTTAAAATTGCTATACTACGTGTTCGTTTTCGATTTATGCAACTATTTCTTTGTCGAAGTGATGAAAGTAAACTAATAAGTCATTCAAAACTGCACGTCTGATTCTAAAGATGCGTCTAGAAATATCCAGAACTTATCTTTTATGAAAATAGAAAAAAGTGTCTGCTATATATTCATAAACGTTAATAAAGGTTATACTTCAGGGGTCCATTTTAGGACCGCCTTTCATCATTTTAAATGGTTCTCATTTCACAAATTTGCCTTTTTTTCCGGTGAAGCTAAGCGCCGTTGCAGCCCTAAACTATGACTTGAATAGGGTTTTCGTGATGTCCACACATTGTTTTAAATTAAATGAACGATGGTAAGAAGGAACGGCGATTGAGATTTCTAATGGGTGGTCATAGTCTTTAGATTAATAAAAAAAATTAGGTTGTGTGATTCAGTGAGAAACGTAAGAATGATAATCGACGAAGATTTTAGATTTTCAGAGCAGATGTTTACAAAAAGCATATTTAATATTAAAATTTATATTTCAAAATTGTGAATTTTTATAACACGAATCTCTGGTTTTATCTCAGTTAAATTATGGGTATGCAGCCCATGTTAAAACGATTTTGATAAACGCCGAATTGAAAGGCTTCAAAATTCGTGTCTGAGGTTGATTGGGATTCGAAAGTTCGACAGAATTACTCGCACACGTCAAAAAGTTAATTTCTTTAATATGAAAAATGGAATATTTCTTCATTCTGTGACTTTTTCATATAATTTTTGTAATAAAATAAAAAACTTAAGCAACTTTAAACGTATTAAAACTAACCTTTTTCAAAAACTACTTGAACACATTGGAAAAATTTGTAGGTAACTGTGTACTAAATGAATTGAAATATTTTGTTGATCTTGTAGTCTTATTATAAATACATAGTTTTGCCAAATCTTAATATCATATTGTTTAGATTTGTTTAAATTGCTTGTTCCTGTTTTTTGGATTATGCGTTTTATGCATTTTTTGAATTGTTTATGAAATATTCCAAGAAAGAATTGAGTTTGGTTTCGTTGCACTTATTTTTAATGTGTTTGAACTTTATGACTTTATTTTTCCTCTTGTTGATGTTATTTTTGTTACTTCCCTAAAATTGTAGTTTGTAGTAGAAAAAAATGTCTATACTTGTCGTTATGGTAGTGGTGATTAGTGAAAATGCGGTGTAATTTAAGTCGTATTGAGTGTTGGGTGACTAGCATTAATTTAACGTATATACACCAGATCACTACTGAAATCCCCTCGATAAAGTGTGTTTCAAGATAATTTGTGCGAAATTAGATTTGTGTTTAAATCTAAAATAAATAAGGTTGCCGTAAAAATCGACACCGCTATCGATATACTGTGTTCGTATTTTCCGTTTCTCTCATTCTTCCATTTTGGAATCAAACTTTTCATTCCGCTAGCGTAACGTGCCGGTGATATATGTACTTAAAAGGTAAATTATCTGAAATTACTTTCGATTTCTGCGTTTCCCTCTTATCTCTTCGCTTTTACCTTCTAATATAAAATCGAACGAACAGTTCAGATTTATCTCACTTTATATTTCTTATCGACTCCGCCTATCTCAGGTTTTTTGGAGATGTCGACAGGGCGATTAGAAAAAAATATTGGCTTTTAATGCAGGACCGCATTATATCTTTCACCGATGTTTTCGACACCTATAAAAATGAACGTGATTTGTAATAGTTTTTTGGTCCGTCAACGTCGTATCTAGCTTCCATCCATTATTATTCCAACATTATTATTACGTGTAATATAAATATTGTATAATAAAGAAATCTACATCTACTAAATTTAAGTTCAGTCATCACTCATAGCCGTTCTTTCTTTTTTTTATTTAGTGCACTAGTCCACCAATTAGCGCTTTCGTAACATCAGCTATTCTATTCTATTGTCCTACAATTTATAATATGTTATTTTATATATAACAAATTGAGCTTTTCGCAAATACTCTAATTATGATTCAATACGTTTACCTAAATTGTACTAATGAATTTCTAATATTAAGTTTTATTTCCAAAGCTTTGTTTCTTTTTCAGATTTACGTCTCCCACCACTCTCAGCGCATTTATTTAATCTTCATAAATTGTATTAATAACATCATGTATTTGGTATGTAGCAGATAAATTATGGGACACGCCGTTTATAGTCACATTGTCGTTCGCTGTCAATATTTATAAGAAAACGGTGACTTTTGGTAAGGTAAAGAACAATTTGTTGATTGTGCGATTGTCGCTATTATTAAATGTAATAATTGTTTTTGTATATAAAAATCATCGGGTGTTAATAATGACACTTGGTATTAAGATGTTTGTTGAACGTAGCAAAACTCATTTTATTAGTATTTATTTGAGGTTTGTTTGTGACCGTATTCCCATCTAATATATTTGACCGAATTTAGCCGCGTAATGGCTATTTTACTGGGAAACTTATTAAACATCGCCTTCTGTTACCAGACACTATTCGATTCATTGATATTCATATTAACCTGGTTTCTTTCTTCCAATATGAACAAAAAGATGATGGAATATATGGAATATACTTGTAATTCAGCAGGCCACCTTTCTTATTTCAATCTTGCTAACGATTGTGGCAAGAGTCGATCACTATTATGTCATTTTTATTTTTATTTGTAGTGACGGTAAGACTCAGACAAAATACTCCTATAGGCTAGAGTACTAAAATGGGAAATTCTGTCCAGTCCAGCGTGTCATTAAAGCAATGGAGACGATTTATCATCTTGACTAACGTCAAGATATGATAACAGTTCTTCAAATGAGAAAGAATATGTATAATTTGATAAATGTTACGTTATAAGTTCCTAGAATAGTCCTAGAATAGTCTTTAGTTCCGCGATATATATGCCTTTCTGATTCTTATAATCTCCATTCTTATATTTTACGCTTGTTTTTCAGACGATGAAAATTGATTCTGAGTGGACGACTTAGAACGCCGATCGTTTTCTTCGATTTGAAAGGGTAAGTGTTGTGCAGTTTATGAGGATTAAACTCATAGGTGTTTCCTTCGCCATTAGAACTATCGGGACGTTCGGATATTGCATGACCGAAAAAAGCTAAGCTATGTGTTCAATATGCTGCTCCTACCCGTTCCGTCGATAATAAATAAATGAGCTCCGGGTTCAAGGTGAAGGTTAAACTCATTTTTTTTTCAGTTTATTGGTTGTGCACGGTTCGATATAGCTTTGGTTAAATATAAATTAACACAACCTCGTTTATTGATACAGTAATGGCTAGAAAAAGGAACTAAGCTAAACTACCCCATTTTAATTTAGTTTGATTTTTTTTCAAATTTTCTACGAATGTTTTTGACGACGTTTAAAGTATCTTTTATATGTACGTGCCTTTTCAACTTCCATTTGACCTTCACTGTACTTCAAATTTAATGTTGTCAATTTTTTCTTTGCAAAGATCTTTCACGATTTTTCCAGGTACGCACAAAGATATTTCGACTCAATATCGAAAATCATAGTATTTCAATATCGATCGATCAACGTCCGAGCCATTGGAAGCGAACAATTGAATAACAACAAAATCGTGTCGAGAATGATCGGTATTGAATTCACACTGCTTCGTTTCTGAGGCGGATGAAAAAGGGAATGTATCAACATTTTCGTCGAAGTGAAATCCGTGCGAAATGTGATCCGTGCTATCAAAAATGCTACGATATTTGACGCCGTATCACTGTTACGTGGCGATAGAAATAAATGCAAGTTCTGGGTTTCATTTCTTGCTATCGGACGTTAGAAAATAGGGTGATTCACGATCGATAGCGGATGAGAGATTTATGGAAAACGGCACATCGGTCATTTTGAAAGTTTGCGGTGTGCTTCTATTATATGGGAGTAAAATATTTTCTGCTATGCGAGGTTGCCGCTCAATACTGGTATAGTATGCAAAAATGTTGGCATTCACCCAATAAATAGAGAGACAAAGGTTGTTTGTTGAATTTCAGCCACTTACATTATAAATTCAGAATGTATGCGGACCGGTTGTGGAACTACATTAAAATGTGGGTTAAAACATTTGATTACTTATCGGAAAAGGTTGGCCCATGCTTGGAGAAAAGAGTCACAGATTTTGTAAAAAAATGCTATATTACACCTACTGAACTATTTGTTATTACTATAAAGTTAAAGAAAAATATTTAGTTATATTATTGTGTTTATTAAAAAAAAAATTAGTTCATGAAATTTATCATCCTCGTGTCACATCACTTGTCTTTTCACAAGATGTGATGTGATTCTGATAATGCTAAATCAGAAATGTTGGATGTTCATTGTATGTCTCTGCCTTTTTCGACGTCAGAATTTATTGTATCGTCCTGTTGGCATGAATATAGATTTCCATATTTGGTGTTTGGGGTCATCAGATGTTTTAGAAAAGACATCATTTGGAAATATGGCCAAAAAGATGAAATGTTGCTGGCTCCATCTTCAGAACAGAATGTTGAAATAATTTCGTATGAATTTGTTTTTTTTTTTAATGAAAGGTATCCAAATTTTAGTTGATCTAAATTTCTTTAAAGACACTTGCTTGATATTGCCAATATAAATGATATTTCTGTAATGTAAACTTCTGTAATTAAAATCTGCTGCGCCCTTCGCTCCTACTGAAGTATTGAACACTATTGCGTCGCGCCAAAAAACAAATCCGTTTGTTTACATCGCTGACGCTATATGACAACGCGCGTCAACGCCGCGGTAGTCGCTCCCACTCTATACAGCGCTTAATACAGAGGCGTTTGACCAGTAGAAAGATTGTTACCTTTCCCTAAACACCTTAGACTTGGTTACGCGAACTTTATTAAAAATAATAAACTCTAGATCGGGAGACGAGGTTTTAAAAAAAAATTAATTCGCCATTCCGCCGTGACGAACTTACGGTATTTTGCGTCGAAAATTTCTCAGCGTTTTATTGCAATTTATGTGAATAGTGGATAATTTCAGCGAGACCGTATTCCCCGGTGCAGTTTCTCAAGGCGATCTTCAGAAATACGGCGACGAGCAACGTTGCCGCGTGTATGTACTTAATGTTAGAGCTGCTGAATTTCTTTACGGTAATTGCAACTCATGTCCACGAAAGTCGGTTCCTCGGTTTATTTCGTCGACGCGTCAGTAAAATTACGTATACATACGTCTATCCCCGCCCAAACGGTAATAAAAGGCGCAATCAACATGTGTTCCATAATAAAACTGAATATGTTTTGATTAAGCTCAATAGAATCAATTGTATCTTCATTACTTTATTAGTTCGGTCTGAAATTGATGGGAGACAACATAATAAACAAACACCATATTTGAGTTCGTTATTCTGGTTGTTTGGGCGTTGTATAACCATATTTATTTTAAGATGATAGATGCATGTTGTATATATTTGTTTACTGTTATTTTCTTTATTAATTGATTTTGTTTCTGTTATTTAATTAATCCTCTGAAAACACCACAAGTGCTTTCAAGGAATTGTTTTCTTTTATATATAGCTTTGAAGTATTTAATAATAATTATCATAAAGCCTATTGAATTAGTTGATACTATGTTACCAGTTAAAATCAGTTCGCGTTTGTTCTAGATAAATTGTCGAAACTTCAGTATTTCCTTTGTGTTTTTAGATTACTGTTTAGCAATTTTCTATGAGTCGCCCTCGAAGTTACCATACTTTTTATGCTCAGCAGCAAAGTGGGACACGAATCAGGTACGAACTATCCAACATAATGCAGATTGTTTTCCAAATCGTATAAATATTTATTCATCTTTATTTTTTCGGAGGATGTCGGTTGTGTCTAGTAGAATACAATGTCTAGTACCCCAGCAATTCGCCCTAATTTATAAACTCGGTAATTTCAAAACCATATCGCATATATGAAAAATTTATTCAATCCTCGTACACGAAATAGCCCTTATTTTACACTGATTGCGGGTCGGGAAAAATTGTCCCGTTTCAAACATCGTTCGATTTACTGTGGCGGCTCCACATTATCACAGCGCAATGCACATAAAGTCTGTCATTCTCACGCTATATGCCATGTCGGACTGAAGGGTGGATACTGGTATTTTAATAAGGGCCGTATTTAATTTCCCCAATGTTTATATTCGTTTAAAAAATCTACAGTTGGGCTTAGATTATTTTGTATCAGTTTATTGTAGCGGCGCTTTAACAGTCGATAGTGTAAAACCAACAAAAAAAAGGTTCAATACAAACATAGATCGCCTTCGAGATATATTAAACTTTATAATACTTAAAAAGATTTTTATTTATATTTCTGCAACGCGAACATGGAACAAAGTAACTAAAAATAGTTATTGTTACCCCTTTCAATGAAAAAAAAATCGTATCCTCTGTTTTTGCCACTGTTTTAAAATACCGCAAATCAATATTGATGTGGCAACCTGTTTTTGAGTTTATGGTTTGATATTGAGCCAATTTTAGTTCCATATACAGGGTGTTTTCTAATTAAATGTCAATAATAAAAACTATTGAAATACCGGGTGGTAAATTTTTCAAAAATAAAATATATTTATTTTTTTATTTTTTTTTAATACACCAGTTGTGGGCATACGGAGTTTCATCTGTTTATTTTGGCAGACATTGATGGTACGCCACTGATTTTTCTTAAATTTATTCTTACAATCTCCAATCATTTCTAAAGAAATTGAATTTCTTGATTTTTTTTAATTCGATGTACGGTTTTCGCTTTAAAAAAAATTAAAACCTCTTCTCTGCAATGACAATATGAATGTAAGAATAATTTTTATTTTACGATAAATCGGTGTCGTCCCATCAATGTCTGCCAAAATGGACAGGTGAAATTCCGTCCGGCCGCCACTGGTGTATTTTTAAAAAATTGTGGTACACTAAATAAAAAATAAATTTGAGTAAAATATCTAAAGTGGTATTACACATATTAAAAAAACTGTATTTCATCTTTGTAAATTTTACCACCCTGTCTCTTAAAAGTTAAGACGTTTAGGACGTATGTTCGTATGAGGTTTTCGTTTTAAAATGGACCCAAAAATGGTCCCCTTAATTATTGGTGTTCAATTAAAAAACACCCTGTATAGCTACTCAGAATGATCTCCGTGTCCTAAACGTATTGTTACTAATTAAAATTTACGGGGTAGTAAATTTATACACTACTGGTCGCAAACTACTGCGAATAATCCACATGACATCTGCCGTGTCTTTATTAACTGATTGGTCAGGGAGCGGTGCTTTGCTTTTATAGATCGCAGCGTCTTGTCGCGATGGGCCGGAATGCTCCAAACGTCTTTCGTGTACCCCACTTTCTTGGAACGCAAATAGAGCTGGGCCCGCCCCATTCGACTCGTTTGTCACAATACTTGTACCATAAACACTAGTATAAAAAGGACGCTTCCTTGAAACTGCAAATCCTAGTAAATTATTTTTTTCTTTTAAATATTTGCCAATAGTACATTTTATGTACTTTTTTAAAATTAAGATATACTGCTTACTTTACAGGAAACATGGCAATCCTCTGCCTTGATTCGATGTTTTTTGTTTTGTTCCTATTAAGACGCTTCTAACTATAATTCCAGACTTAAAAAATACTTTTGATGTTCGTTTTGCTGGTCTCAAGTTCCTGTTACGTTCCAATTTCGACCTTAGGTCATATTTCCAGTAAATTAAAGAATTACCTGTGTATTTGGGTTTTATTAGTTAAATCACGCTTCTCATGCTAATTCCATTCTAGTGTGTTTGGTACTTTCCTTCAAATTAATCTTACTTTATGTTTTTGACTGCTTTCTTCTTTCTCTCTGGGAAGATAAGTCAGTCGATTTTACCTTGCGAATGTTATCCTTTTCCTCTGTGTTCGGATGTATAAATATGTAATGATATAGCGGCAGGATATCGAAAAGACTCCTTTCGCGTTGTTATTGTTTTGCTGTTGTTTGAGCTGTAATGAAATACGGTAGAATCAGCAATTATTCTTGAAGCTTCAC